CTCACTACTGCCCCCTGTCTCTCAGCCCTGCCAGCTGCCCCTGATCCCCTCCCGCCCTGGGCTGCTCACTACTGCCCCCTGTCTCTCAGCCCTGCTAGCTGCCCCCCGATCCCCTCGCGCCCTGGGCTGCTCACTACTGCCCCCTGTCTCTCAGCCCTGCCAGCTGCCCCTGATGCCCTCCCACCCTGGGCTGCTCACTACTGCCCTCTATCTCTCAGCAACCAGGACCCCACTAGCATACTCTGGACTCTGGACTCTCGTGCCCCTGGGTGCCCTCAGCCCCCAGGACTGCTCTCTCGACTGCGCCCCGATCCCCTCGCACCGTGGCGCCCCCTGCTGGCCGCACCTTGATGTTCCTGAAGCTGAAGGTGACCTTGCAGTACTTGCAGTTGAGGTTCCGCTCCTCGCACTCCCTCTCGCTGTGCCGCTCCTGCTCGCTGCGGCGGAGCAGCGCCTTGCAGGCTGCACACTGCACGCGCTCCAGCTCACACCTGCCCTCGTGACTGCTCTGTGGGGGCGGGGCGGGGTTAGGGTCACGCAGAAGAGCTGGGAAGCACAACAGTGCCGCAGCATGACAGCACTGCAGTCTCTTTCCTAAGCAGGTATTGCGCCATTACCGAAAATCTTTAGAGTAAAATAAAGACGACTGTTGTACCTAAGTGCAGAGATTTATAATTTTTGACAAAGAAAACATGACAGTTAAAGAGTCTGAACCTTCTCTCTGTGGGGCAACAAAGCAGCAGAACTAGATCACAACAGCAGACCCAGGCTTCTCTACAACAGGAGGTGCCTCCAGTCTCCTGAACATCAACGATTGGGTGTTTCTTTCAATTTCTACTTTTTATTATCTTCCTATTGGGACAAATTGTGGTGCAGGGTCATAGAGCGAGGTACTTTGTGCCTACAGTTTTGAGAAGCCCCTACCTTCTTTGACCCCATCTCTTTCAACATTTGTAGTTTCCTCTGTGCAGGAGATATGGAGAACTACGTGTCCCATGATGCCTTGGGGACATGGCCTGTTCATTTCCTGTCTAAAGAGTCCCAGTTGGGAGGCATTAAGCTACCTTCTTGCTGGCTTTAAAAGGCTGTGGCAAACATACGTTCGGGTTTGAAGACCTGAGAGACAGGCTGGCTTTTGGTGATTGCTTATTTTGGACTCTAGAAAGGTCAAAGTAAGTAGTACTGAAGTTTAGTACTCATCTAAAGGATTCTACTTGGTTATATTATTGATCCTAAAAAGTGTGAGCTTGCTGGTGTTTTTAGATACTGTTTTTGTAGAAAACAGAGGCTGAAGTGCTTTGCTGTTTTTTCTCTGGTAGTAGACTGAGTATTTTCACACTATAAAGAGGCTGACTGTGCTGTCACTTCACTGTGGGCTCCATTGGGTTGACTTTGTGCTTCGGTCACTGTTCTTTCACAGTGCTGCTCGAGATTAAAGAAACCCATTTCCCTTGTGCTTGCCTGCGTGTGGTGTCTCTTTTCTACCTGGACACTTTCTTGAAGCTCACTATAGAGCAGCACACCTGAGCTGGGTGTGTGAAGAGGTTTCGATTCCTTTGACAGAGAGGAGGCCACTAGGGGCTTAGTTCCAGGCAATGACACTGTGATTTGCAGTTGTAAATATCAAACAGGGTACAGGTCACTGACATGCATTTACTGTCCTGCAGAGTCTGCATGCGTCTCAAAGCAGCAACAGCCCAGCCCTCTCGCATACACAGCTAAAGTAGCAAAGTGAGATGTGGGCTCTGATCAGCATGTCTGCTCAAGCAGAAGTTTGATTAAAAACAAGCTGCAGTGACGGTTAAACCCCGCCTTGCTAACGGTTAGTTCAACAGCCCCACAGACTGGAAATGTTCCTGCTTTGCCCACGTTTGCAGAAGAGCTTGTTTATCGTGCTGAAATCTCATCAGCACCTGCTCCCACACCAGCCCTCAGCAATCTGGCAGTGGGGGCTGTTCGAACAGCTGCAGGGCTGCTGCAAGCCAGCAGGTGTCAGTCCCTCACATGCTTGTATTGTACAGGAGCCCTGCAGCTGCTAAAACCTGGAATGGACTCCAGCCCAGAGGCTTGGAGTCAGGAGGGGCTTGCCTTTCCCGAGCCCACTCTGTCTGGGAGCAGCCATGAGCGAATCGTTGGCGGGGGTGTCTGAATTGGGGGGGGAGACTCGCAGGAGTGAATGTAGAAAGGAGAAGCAGGGCTGCTCTCTGTGCCTGTGCTCGCTGCCAGAGCCCAGCCCCTCTGCTTCAGGAGGAGGAGGAGGAGGAGGGACGGACAGGGAGTGGAGGAAGACGTCTGCAGTGTCCACACTGTCCATCAGGCTCTCGGATGAAGCCAGGTGCATGGACCCGGTCAGCAGGTCAGTACAGTCTCTCTGCCTCTCTCTGTCCTCCCTCGCTCTCTCCTGTACTATCCCATCTCCACCACGAGCCTCTCGCTCTTCAAATCCCCCAAGTAGATCATTAGAAAGGCGCCATTACTGAAACACAAAACTGCTTGTTTTGCAGAAAGCCCTTGTTGAACAGCTTGAAAATATCTGTGAGTTTAACCCAACGGGCTTCCGCCACAGGAGTGAATCAGCACTAAAAATGCTAACGCACATTTTTCGATGAAACTGAGTTTTCAAGAAGGTTTTAAATATTTGGCATCTCCGGCCTGAGCTCTGAGCCACATGTGCTGTAACCACAGAGATTTATAATGATCTCTGACATGACGGCTGGTTCCCATCACAGTCCGTCAGCTCTGGGAGCAGCAGATAGTCTTTCTCTCAAACCTAATGGGGCCCAGAGATCCTGAACACCCAGAGAACAGAACTACTGCAAACTATTCCCTTCTCTGCCCTTCAGTATGTCCCCCTGTTGCCCCGAGCTCATTGCACCCCGGTGGTCCCAGCTCTCCTGGCCAGCTGCATGGAGTGACGGACTTCATTTCTCGATGCGCGTGCCAGTCGCGATCTCGCACGCGGGTCCGTTTCGTGTCCTGCGGGTTCGGCACGCCGAGCACACAGCTGCCTCCTGTCCTCTCTGCCTGTACTGTACTGTCCGTCCGCTGCTGCGTTCTCGGTATTCCGTGTGCTGCTCAGCTCCTGCTCCGTGACGCGGCGTTTGCCACGGCGCTCCGCATCGCCCTGGGGTGCAGCTGACAGGCCCGGCCTGGCCGGAACAGGGCTCCTGGGACAGTCGCTGATCTGACCGCTGCCAGGAGGAAGAGGGACCGGAGTGCTCCGAGGGAGTTTAACATCTCCCAGCAGGGGGAGGAAGGGCGCTGGCGCAACACTGTCTTCAGGAGTCGCTGGGTTTGGCTCTGACGGGTCAGAAGGCTCTGTTTGTCTGTATATGCACAGGGTAATTACACGGCAGTCTGCAAGCTGCAGTCTCACCCTCCGGGCCATTTTACATTCACGTCTGTGTGCTTCTGTCTCCTATCCTGCCTTTCAAAAGATGCAAACAGCGCTTTTCTTTAGCGCTGAACAGCTGGAGACAACGAGAGGAGCCGGCGGAACAGCCCAGCCGCGGCGGCACTTGAATATTCTAGGTACTTTCCAGCTCTGCTGTGACCTTCGCGCACTGCGGGGGAGGGGGTGGAGGGACTTTCCCCCTCCTGCCTCTATTGCAATGGCTTCTCTTTTTATCTTTACATTTGCATTCTGTCCAGTCTCTGCTCTTCCTTTGTTAACCAGAAAGGACAGTGCAGCACTGACCTTCAACCATGCAGTGCCTTGCTTAGCCAGACGTTTTAATAGCGACACTGCAGCACCAAAGGTGTCTGGTGTTGATAGATATTTAAAGTAAGAATACGAACATGACGAAATTCCCCAAATGGGACAATAAACAGGCGGTTTTGCTTTAAATTGGGGGCAGGAAGTGGTGAATTCGTGCACTTTTAAAAATAAAAGTGGCAGCAGGAACATTCAGCCTGCTCTTTGCTTGTGACCAGGCATCGTCCTGCCCTCGTGGGAGACCGAGTGGTAATGGCACTGGAGTCTGGCCGTGTCCCTTTCTTTCCTTTTTGTTCTGGGATGAACAGGATGTCGGAAGATCAGACTGTATTTGTGAGTGAGCCACTCTGTCCTGACCTGATCTGCTACCCCTCTTGTTCCTGCCAATACCACCCCTCCCTGCAAGATGAGTCACGAGCCGTTACCTCTGATTTGGGGTGAAGGTGTCGATCGCGAGTATTTATGACAACATGGCTTCCAGCTTCTGTCTGCCCTATTGTCTCCGAGCACAGATGACGGAGCCTGTGGACACTCTCTTGTATCTTTCTTTCTGCACTGGAAGCAGTCTGATCAGAACAGCAGGCTTTTAGAAGTGAGGCGATGCCTCACCTCGTACTCCTTGATGACCCCCTTCCAGGTGCAGCCCTCGTTGGCACAGCTGGCCGGCAGGTTCTCGATCTCCCTCCGTGCTGCGTTGTCTGGAAAAGCCTGCGAAGAGCGAAGGGGGGAGAGTGACTGGGACAAGGAAAATCAAATAAAAAGGGAGAAACAATTCTAAATCTCTTGTTAATAGGGGACCCAGGCAAGTCCTGAGGACCTATAGCATCACTGCTCCTACATCGTCCCGTCTCCACTCTCTGTGGCTGAACTGAGCCACTCGCTGGCCTGTGAGTTCAGGTCAAACTCATTAAAGAGAACAAGTAAAGGTTAATTCCATCCTGAAAAGGAAAAACAAATTTTAGCTTCAGGAGTGAGGGGGGGAGATAGAGAGAATCTCATCTTTAACGGTCCCATTCACTCAAGGCCATCCTCCATCAGTCCCAGTCAATCCTGATCCGTCTACAGTGTGTCTGAGCCTATCCCAGTCCATCCCAGTCCATCTGCATGAGCCCTGTCTCATTCTGTTCCCAAGCCCAGCTGAGCACAGTGGCTCCACAGACTTCAGGCTGTTTGAAGAAGGAGCTGTGCTGATTTGTTATTAGAGGCAGTTCTCTGTAGTGAGCGAACCTGCAGGGGACAGCGGTCTGAGTCAGGAGAAGGATCCTGATGCAGGAGCAGATGAGAGATGATCATGTTGCCACGGTGCAGGCAGGTTAGATGGCTGATCCAGTATTTGACTGCCGGCCGTGGTGATGCAGGGGCTGGAGCTGTACACAGTTCAGCCAAAGGAAACTGAACATTCACCCTAAATTCTGCAGGAAAACTCCCTCCCCGTCTTTCTGTCTGTGACTGTATGACAGTCACATGCTGGAGTCTGCCCACAGAGCCAAGCGGGTGGTTTTTCTTGTTTTTAAAGAATTAAACACTTCTCATCTGACTTGCAGAAACGCACGAAAGAGTTTTCATTATGCATTAATCTTTCCAGAACACCACAGTGTTGTCCTCAGGACTACCAGTGTTCCATGATCATTGTAAAGCCTGTCAGGGCAATACTGCTGAGAGGGCGCAGTGTGGACGAGTGGGGACAGGCTGCCGAGTCCTTTCATACACCGGACTTGCTCTCCAGTGCCAGGGAGTTCAGGCTTATTGTGAATCAGTATAGTCTACAACTGAGTGTTGTGTTCTTGCTGCTGAAATGTTCAGTTTTCTATCCAGCACTGTGTGGTGTAAGGTGCTATTTAAGGATAAAGATTGATTCATTAGATAATTCTCTAATTGACGGAGAATGAGGCAACTTACAGCGTTTGTATCCAGTAAAGATTGTGGCTCTTCAAATATCCCCTCCTGCTTGCAGGCCTCACAAGGGCAGGGCCCCGAGCTGGACAGAGAGAGGGAGACTGAGTTACTGTGCCGAATCCGCAGGGCTGAGAGCAGGGGCTACGTCACCCGCTGTTCTCTTAAACTCTTTTTCCCATCCCATCCCACCCCTTGTTTTCCCTGGCTGTCACAGAAATGATGGGATCTATGTTTTTCCTGTGGGAACCTCCCAGAGCCTAGTGCTGCTGCCAGCGGGGAGGAGGAAACTGGAGACTTGCAGTGTGATCTTGCAGGATTGCTGCTCCAACTTGACAGCTGCAGCCGATGGACACACATGCAGGTGATTTCTACAGGATTTCAGCGATTTCACAGGGAAATGAGTCAGTGAGCCTCTGGTTGGTAATCCTAGCAATTCTCTCTACAGATGTCATCTAGAGTGCAGTCTCCTCAGGGTTGGGAGAGGCTATCTATAGCTCTAGTCTCACTGGCGCCTGACCAGGAGTAGGCATGACTGTACATCACCCCTCTCTGCCCTGGCTCTCCTGCTAACTGCTGCCACCAGCCCTGCGGCCAACGCCTGAGCCGAGCCTCTCCGTGTCGGCTGACTCGCCACTATTGGCAAAGCGTCCGTCTCGCAGACTCTCCGCGGATTTGGACAGATCGAGAGGGCGCAGCTCCACCTAGTGGTCATGTACTTCCCCAGCACAGGCGTGGCCCCGCCCCCCCACACACCCCCAGCGCCTACTAGGATGTCCAGTAACCACGGAGATGATGTTGGAAGTTCTTAAGAAACTGCTGGAGCTGCGCAGTACTATTGAGACATGCAGACCTGGTGCAGTGTGGGAATTATCTCTGTGTCCATCACAGATTTTGTTTTGTGACTTTGTATTACACTTATTAGGTTTATACTGAACAATGAGGTTGAGGGGAGCTGGTACTCAGTGTTGCTGCTGCTGTGCTCGGTGACGCAGGGGCTGGAGAGCTGCAGCTGTTCCGCTGAGTCAGTTGGCCACAATGCTCTAGTGGTAAACTGGAGGGAGAGGAGGTCTGGCAGCTCATGCAGCGTGTAAACCTTCAGCAGAACGAGGTTTTCTAGCTCTGTACGAGCACGGTGTGTTTAGGTCTGTCTGTCGGCGAGCGTTGGTGGTACTGCCAGGTGCCCGGCGAGTCCTGCCCTACCTGGTCAGCTCTTTGAGACAGTGGATGCAGAAGCGATGCCCACACTGTGCCTGGAAGGGCTTCCGCAGCACCTGCCTGCACGCCTGGCACAGGTACTTGGGCTCAACGGGGACGGACAGCACCGTCTGCGGGATGCCCGGCAGGTTGGAGTCCAGCGAGGAGGGCAGCGAGGAGGAGGAGCGTGCCATGTCAGCCCCTCAATCGGACGTGTGCCCTGCCTGTCGAGGGAAACACGCACAGCAAATAACACACTGCCCGCAGGCTGAGCAGGACGAAACGAGCCGTCTCCAGCGACTGACACTCTGACTCAGCCTGAGCAGCACTCTGAGGTAGGGGCACACTGAGCACTGAGTACTCACACAGAGTGGTTAACAACTTGAGTAACTGCTTGCCTGCGGAACAGGCTGATTGCGTGAGGAGTTGACTGTGCTGCATTGCAGCCGGTTAGTTAGCTTGCTGCTGGTGGGATTATTCTGCTCAGTCCGTCCCGAAGGTGGCTTCACTGAAGCAGACTGCTGATGGGGCTGGCACTGTGGCTCAGTGTCTCTGGGGTCAGTGTCCCACTCCGCCTGCCTCTCACTGGTCCCAGGCCTTCAGGAGCAAGCACTGTGTTTAGTCAGGGGCCTAAAATCACCTTCATCTAAGTTAAGATAATATTCTACTCGATTAAGAAACTGGATACATTGAAAGTCCTGCAGTGCATTTTCCCTTTTCACGGGAAATGAGCTTCTGCAGAAACTTATTTCTAAAATTCTTATTAATCATCAGTCTGGAAGTAAAACTAGAACAGGAGATTCTTTTTCTCAGAAGGCTATTTTGGCCGCGGTGCTAACGCTTATAGTAAGCGTCCGAGATTTCCTTTTCTCAGCCTTTTATTTTTAACACTGAAGTTGCAAGAGATGCTTGCACACATGTTGCACAGCAGCCAGTGAACAGATGTTCACACGAGTGTATGCGCACCTCGGGTTCACGTGCACCTTTCTCAGCACTGTGCTATGCTCCTGCAGGTTGCATTAGGGCTTCTGGGCTTCTTAAAGATTTGTTTCTATGTCAGAAGAGCCCAGCGATCTTCACTCTCACACTCGCTGAAACACGCACTCAATTGTTGATGCTTGGAAGTCACACACACGGCTGTGTGCAACTTGTCTCCTATACCACGTAGAGGTGACCAACACATAGGAGTCCACTCTCACAGCACACTCAGAACACAAAAGGGAAGGACAGATTGGGCTCTCTGCTCGGTTTGCTGCGTAGCTCCATGATCTCAGGGCCTTCTCCTTTAATGATTTAAAGCCGTTTCATCAGCCAGGCCTAGATGCTCTGTTCCAGCTCTGCACAAGTCTCTCAGTGAAGTAGTGCCCCCTGTTTTTCAGAGTTCAAGATGTAACCATTACTGTCCCTTTCCCTTGATTTCTCTAATTCATGGCAGCAAATAACTGGTTCAAATCCATCATGACGCTGGGCCAGACCCTGGCCAGAGTTTCAGAAAAATTGCACTCTTCCTGCTTTCACAACAGAGGACCCCTCCAGGAAATACGTTACTGTAAATCACAGAGGAATGCTCAGAAATGCAAATGAGTTTCCCTCTCAGGGGTATTGGCACATTTCTTCCCCTTTTGTTCTTCAAGGGAAAATGAAAAGAACATTTTCGTTTTGCAGAGATCCTGAGCCAAATCCGAGTATCGGTAACAGCTGCCCCGGCCCACCTGCAGAGCATAACCACCTGGGGAACCCAGACTTGGGATCATTAAGGAGAAACAGAAAGAAGAGAGGACACAAACTCAGATGGTGTTTCTCCCTTTGATTTAGTCTGATGTGACAGGGACTTTCCCATATTGTCAAGTGTGAACATAGCAGCATGAATTATCCATGTGGCTGGTTTGTGGGCAGGCAGGAGCGAGCACTTCTGTATCTCCTTGCTAGACATAGACTTAAAAGGAATCATGTTTTGGGAAGAACGGGGAGGAGGAAGTGACTGGAGCTGAAGGAATGTGTGTGGGGTGGTCTGGGAATCTCCCATAGACTCCCTGCTGAGCCACAGGCTGACAGGATCTGTTAAGACTCCAAGTGCAGCAATGCCCCCTTAGGGATGATAATAGCAATTGATGAAAGAGTTCAGTAACAGTAGCAGCTCTAGCAGTCAGGCAGTAGAGAGTGACAGCTGGGTGAACTCTCCTTATTCTGGTCTGGACTGTCTGTCCATGAAATGTAAAAAGCACAAAGCTCCACAGAGCCAGGTGAGATGTCTGCCCCAGTACTGCCTCCATAGCCTTTCTTTACACACAGTGAGGGCTTAAGCAGTTTAATGTCAGGCTCTGTCTCTTTGCTCAGTGTTTGCTCAGTACCACGTTGTTACCCAACATCCTCTGTGAGCTGTTCTGCCCTTGTCTTTCTCGCACAATGACACTCTCATACAGCAGCACACTGGGGACCAGCTGAGAGACCGGGGCCACAGAGCTGCCAATCCATCAGGGAGATGAGTCAAGGGCCAAGTCTCTATACTTCATTTGAGGAGCAGGCTGAGAAATCTCAGGGATAAATGGGCTTCTACATCCAGATAGGCAAGAGGGCGTCTGTGCCCTTCTCAGGTTTCTAACATGGGGCTGTGATGTCAGTCCACTGTCTCTGTCGATCCACAATGACACAGCACTAGTGTTCATTGTTCAGGAGAAAAAACAGAAACCGGTTTTCCTTTGCCCTCATCTTTTTCAAATACTTTTTTACACAATCACTCCTCTTCCTCTTTCCTCCTCGCTCAGATCAGCTCTGTGTGTAACCAGAAAGAAAGACCCAAATCACGCAGATCAGGCTGTGATCTAGGGAGTTAAACTCAAGCAGAAAACACATCGCCACATCCTCCAACAGCCATTAGCAAACAAGCTTCAGCCTGGTTTCTCTCCTCATGTTTATGAACAAATGTTTACCCAACAGTACTAAAAAACCCTTTCCATTACAGCACAGGTAGTATTTAGAGAACAAACACAGCAGCTCATGAAAACAACATCACGTCTCGTCTCGGCGGTGGGCGGTGCGCCCTCGTGCGCCCTCGTGCGCCCTCGTGCGCTCATCATCACTCTGCCCTGTGCCTGCGCACTGTCCTCCTGACTTCACCAGTTTCCACACCCGTGGGCATGAAAGGAGCCTCTAATTTTATATTTGAAAAGCAAGTGTTTTTCCATTCGTGGAAAAAAGAAAACCCTGAATCAGACATTCAAACTCTTACAGTACTTGTGGAGAGGAGAGGGTTTGCACAGTGACTATTATCTATTTCAGACGTTTTGGAAGGAAGAGAAACTTGGACAAACAGGGAAATTACAGAGTACGAAAAGGAACACATGACTCTAATCTCACTTCTCTGACCGTAAATAGAAAGATTAGTCATGCAAACACTCATTTGTCTCCTGGGGTGCATTATACCCCATTTTTATCTTTGACACCAAATATAGAAATTAATGTGGATAAAAATAACTCATACACGAATATCTTCATCTGGTCCCCTCTCTGTTCTACTGCTGTTCTCCTTGAATCTGTTTGAGAGTCACGCCAACGAACCTGGGGCTTCATCCTCACCGCTGCCCCTTGCTCTACCAGCAGAGTCTGTTTGCTCTCCCCTTCGCCAGGGGCTTCCAGACCTCCTCCTGCCAGGCCACAGCCCTGCGGGAGTCTCGCTTTCCCCAGCCTGAGGAGCTGGGAGATTCGGCTAAATGGCTCCAATTAAGTCAACGATCAGTTAGCTGAGATCATGAGGAGTTGTGCTGGAAGGCACAATGGAACTGCAGGCGCAGACCAGCACTCAGTGCGCTCTGAGCTGCCTCAGCACCCTGGAGAAACAGAGGCCCGAGCGCAGGGAGAAAGAGTGCTGTCAGCACCCTGCCTCCAAAATAATCATGAGGCCCACAGAAGCAAAGAGTGTGGAAAATGTCACCAGTGACCAAAACACTCCGCTGTTGTTACTGGCAACCTGCAGCTTCCGCGTCTGAGCTCAGCGGCTCTCACGAGGAGAGGCGCAGCAGCACTGCTGGGGCAGACTGACCCCGACCTGGGAGGGGCTGGCTTCAGGGCGCCAACCCGCATCGACCCACAGTCAAACGCGCTTTTTCAGAGACCCCCACGCACTGAGCTCTACCTCAGCTCTGAGGCTCGAAGGCGTACTTGTGAAATCAAGGTAAACGGGATACAGACGTGTGAAGAACCCTTGCGATCCAATCGATTTTGATCCCCAACAATACGCAGTCGCAGTTCAACACTTTGGCCAGCTGGGGGCGACAGGGGCTCTCAGCCTCAGCCAATCACGAACGAGCTTTTAGCGGAAGTGCGCAGAAAGGAGGTAACGTTTTTGCCGAGAACGCAAGGTGAGGAAAAACGTAAAAACATTTCGTGCTGAGTGAAAATGTCGTTGTTTTTCCAGGTTTCTGGTGTAAGGATTATTGGTTTATAAAATGTTTCTATGGCATAGCCAGGTTTTCGCCAAGTTAATCTGCGGTTTAAGCAGAGAAAGTCTCCTGCAGAATTCAGTGAAGAGGTCAGCCTGGGCGCAGAATTTAGACGGGTCTTTTAAAAGGCAGACTAGGCTGAGCTGTCGGCTGACACTAGTGTCGCTTGTCCTTACCGGCATCATTACCGTCATATAGTTGGTAATATAGTAATATTGTAATATAGTTTGTTAAGGCGAAGATCTGTGTTCGGGTTTGGTACCGGCAGCTTGTGGGGCCTGGAGCAGCTGTCACTGGCTCGGACTGGGAATAAATGCAATTCCCAGTGTTCCGTATATCCTGGTGTATCTGGTGCAGAGTGCAGCGATGTGTTCGGTGTGTTCAACAGCATTGCACTTTGCTTTAGTAGGCAGAGAGCAAATGTGTCTTTACTGGATATGAATTTGGGAAAACGTACGCATTCCTCTCTGGACAAACGGTGTTTTTTATTATCCATAATTGGAAATAGTGTGTGGTGTATATCACTACGACATGTACATCTCCCATCTGTTGAAAAGAATATTTTCGTAACGTCTCGTCGAAAGGCTGTGAAAGTGATCTATACCGTATGTGTGTACTTTATCAGCAGGTAAACTGCAAAATGAAACGCGAGTTAGAGTGTGTGTGAGATCAGAGTCACAAGAGACGTCGTGTGACAAGCAATTAAAACGCGGAACAGTTGATGAAGGAAGACCTCGCCTGTTTTTGTCTCTAATAAGAGGGAAAAAACGTGGAGACTCAAATTCACATCTGAATCTTTCGGTACAGTGCTACTAACGAGTCTCAACCCGCTGTGTCTCGGCTGTTGCTTGTCTTCTTAACATTCCTCCAATGAAATTAAGTGAAAACAACTCTTCTGCAGTTTTTACACATGGTTGCACAAGATTGCACCAATCAGCAGCTTACACCCCAGCACTGAGTTTGTGCTTATTCAGATTTTGTAAAGCTAATGGCTACGCTTGCCTGTCACTTCCGAAATACGAGTCCTAAAACGTCCGACATTCGCACAAAACAAAAGTGAAGAAATAAGACTAAAACCCGCGAAGGCTTGGCAGATTAGGCAGATATTGCGGCGAAAGGGCTCGGCTAGACGCCCGGCAGTTCCACGCGAGAACTCGGTGACACGGTGTCGAGGAAATGACAGCTGCAGATTCGTCCCTCTTTCCCGGGAGACAGGCCGAGGCCGGCGCGGAGAGAGACCGCTCAGTACCCGAGCTGCCCTGCAGCTGTCGCGCCCGGTTCGACTGCGGTGGTGTCACACCGCTGGATGGAGACAGAAGCGGGGCTGTACTTACCTCAGTCTGTCTTGCCGAGTCTATAACTCTTTATACAGTCTGGTCATTATATTTTCCTTTGCCCCGCCTCTCGTGTGGGGTGGGGGCGGGTGGAATCTCTGCATTGTAAACCTGTCATGAGTATATAGTATATAGGAGCTGTTCAACTCAACGGATCGCTTCTCCCTTCCTCGCCTGGGTTACGATTTGCCGAACTCTATTGCTCGGTTACCAAACTCTTGGTTAATGCCCCACCGTCTGACATAACATTGAAAAGAACTGCTATATTCATAAAACAATAGTATGACACTCGTACGCACGCGTGTTCGTTGAAAGAAGTTTGAAGGAGGTTCGAGGTCTCTCAGGACGCCCTGTGGTAATTTGATTGGCAGGTCTATAGCAAGGTAAGAGAAGGTCACTGGCGCTTTTTTAACACCGTGACAGTGGACAGATGTCTCGCGCCGCCTCTCTGCCTCCCCGGTGACCAAGGTCGCTCCCCGGTGTCTGTTAACTGAAGTCGGGGTTCAACGCTCTGTTTTGGGGAGTAAAGCGCCCGAATGTAGCCTCAGTGCTGGGACGTGATGCAGCTGATGTAGCCGAGCCTGCAAACCTGCCCCCACGGAAAGAGAACACGAGACTTCTCCACCAAGCCGCGCGCGCGTGCGGATAAGCCTGATCAATTCATTTGAGACGGGGGGGTGTTAGTTAAAAGATGGAAACGATATTTTTTTTTATCCAGGTGAGATATATTATTAAGAAGCATGACTTTGTTTTTTTAAAAAAAAAACACCCCGGAAACTTTGTGTCTGTTTTCCAAAAACGTCCCGGGAACTTGTGTGCGGTTATTCTCTAACGAACTTAACCGCTGGCCGAGGCGCGCAGAACTGATTTTGAGAAGTCAATGACATCGCCTATTTCTGCCTTTTATCAACCCTAAAACAAGAGTGCAAACGAATAATAATTAGAAAAAAAGATCTTCAATCACAATTATATTTATTACTGAGGACTGAACGTTGTCCTCTGTTTTTAGCTACAAAATACGTTCTGTAATAAATCGCTTCTTCGCTTTCCAAGACACCCCGAAGCGCTTTACGACGGGGTCTTCGAAACCCGTGGAGCAGGTGAACTGAGCTGTGACATTCAGTATGACATCCCGACAAATCGGGACACCTGCGTGGAGCTTCATTTTTCCGCCCTTGACTCGCCTGTCCGGAGTGGAGAGTGATGGAAATACATTAGATATTCAGCCTTACTCCTTTATTAGTAAGCCTACAGGTTTTCAGGGGGCTGTTCAGTGTTTCAAATACTTAGGAACAGTAATAGATGAACATTTAAACTTTGCAGAAAAGACCGATTGCATTTTTAAGCAGGCTAGTCGGCGTGTATTTATGTGTATCAGGACGACGAAAGGGTTGGAGACCGGGTGTACTGAATACTGGTAGAAATGACCTCCTGAGTGTTAAGAGTCAAGGCAAATTAGCCAGAATTGTTAATAATGCTATTAAAATAATTAGTCAACCAAAGAAACCGCTTAAAGCACTTCTCGCCCTGCAGTTCGAAGGAAAGTTCAGCTCGTCATTGATGACTCTCCCCGCACTCGTCACCCCCATTTTCAGCTGCTGCCTTGAGAGAGGCGCTGTAGAAGGCTGCCAGATCAGCTGGAGCTGTAGGAGTCTGCGTGGCGACGTCATAAGGGCCGAGCGAGGTGTGTGTATGTGTATTGCTGCAGGTCTATGACTAGTTTGTGTTTCGAGTGTATTTATTTTGTGTTGATGTTTTTTTTGTAGTTTTGTGTGGTGATGCCAAAGACAAATTCCCACTCTTTTGGATGGAAAATAAAGTTCTATCTTATATCTCACCTTAAGATGCCGGTGAGACCTCCACACCTTGGTTAGAATATCCTCACACTATACAGCAGGGGCGCCAGCCCGCTTCAGTGAGCTTCTGAGTCACAGAGTGATATACCTGCTGGCTACAATTATCTATATTCTTATATATTTATTATTCTTTTTATTCTATACATCCTTGCATATTTTGAACACCTGCCTGTGTTTCTCGGCTTCGTCAGTTTGTATGCAAATATACCGTTCACACGGGCTGTTGCCTGATGTTTTCCTGTCCCGGTTCACACTTGGGGGCTGGCACTGTGCGCAGTGAGGTTTTCTGTGCGGGCTCCGCTGACGTTTTCAAATGAGCTTCGTACGCAAAAAAAGGAGGTTCATGAATTTCCCCAAAAACCCGCTGGTGTTGATTACCTTTAAACAGTATTGGCGGATCACACTTAGTTTCAAATACGAAGCTGGCTTACTGTGTCGGGCATTTTTGTGCGTGTAATTCCTGGAGGGAAACAAAAAAGCCCAACATAGGTGTTTTTTTTTTGTTGTCTTGAATGATTCATTATAACTGGTCGCGGAGAGGGTTACAGTTCGCTCCGAGGCTATCGGGGGAGAAGGAGACGCTGTTTACATCTCGGTACCCGGAGAGATAAATGTGTTTTTGTCCGTTTCTCACCACATGAAAACCGGGTAAACTGCTTCATCTAGTGTTGAAATGAGTCAGTAGAAACAGAATGTACACAGTTCCGTGTGTTTAAACAACGCGTTGGTGAAAGAACAAACATTGTTTAAGCTGTGTTGACTCTGTTGAGTGCTCTTATCCATTCACCATCGCCTGTTGGGACATTGGCGTTCTTTCAGGGAAATGTCATTTCGGAATTTACAGGGATTAGATTGCGAAAAAATTGTGAAAGTGAAAGTTGCGTAAAAAAATGTTGCAATCCGAGCCAACATGGTCTGAAATTGTCCTATCACGAATCAGTTCGTTTTAAGGCATTTATTTTATTTTGAAACGAGCGTCAGAGACTCTAAAAGGGTACTCATTAAGTCTTTTTGTATCTCACGGGCTTCCGTACGCGTTGACCTTCGACGTCAAGCGCTTGCGGGTGCTCTAGGGGCCTGTTGGCGTGTCGGTGTGTTTTTGCAAAGCAGCGCCGGGAGCTTGCTCGGGTCTCCCTGGACAGACGGAGCCACGATGCTGGCGGCGCCGCGGAAGGCTGTGCTCGCCGGGGTTCGCTCGGCACCGGCTCTTAGCGCAGGTACGGAGTGGCACATGTGCGTCATTCACGGGGAGAGCGGCGCCGCGCAGCCCGCAGAGAAACCGATCAGCTGCAGCTCCCCGGCTGTCTCCCCGGCCCGTGTCCGGTGCCGTACCTGATCGACAGGAGCTGGGTGCTGGCAGCTCGAAAAGCACGGAGCCGGAGAGCTGGCAGCTGACTGAGAAGGTGCTCTGAGTACCGGACCCATTTATCGCTGCCCCTGCCTCTAAAAACATGCCTGTCCCGATTTTACCTCGACAAACGGGGACTAAAAGTGAGGTTTAATGTAGCAGGGACGTTGTGCTGCACTGAGCACAGGCTCCCCTGCACGTTGGTATATTTAAGCTGGCACTCGGCCCCGAGGAGTAATGTTGACCCCACTGCCCCTGGGGGGACGACAGCGCTACGATGTGACCGCTCGTCTGTCCGTCCTGAGGTGGACACCCGCAGCGTCTGTGGTCATTGGCCACAGCCTGTGTGTCTAAACGCTGACCGTGTACGTGTCTCTCCCGAACCGCCCAGCTCTCCGTCCCAGTCGCACGTGGTTCTTGCTGGTATTGATATGTTTGCTGTTGGGCTGATGAAAGGCACTATATTGTCTTGTCAGTATGGAGGTGTGAGCGAAGGCAGCACTCGGAACTGGGGGGTGTGGCGCCCCCTGGAGGAGAACAACAGTACCCCCACCTGTACCAGAGCCACATCCCCACCAACCCCCTGCAGAAGGCACTACTGGCTGTGGGCTCAGGCATCGCCGCGCTGCGGGACCCCTACCGGCACGGTGAGACCCCTGCCTCTCCTTTCTCTTCCCTTACTCCAAACGCTCACGTTTCACCTCCTCCTCCTCCCTGGCCTGTCTGTCGCGCAGACATGGTGGCGGTGCTGGGCGAGACGACCGGACAGCTGGCTCTGCGCCGGCTGAGGGACGAGATGCGGAGAGACCCGGAGGGCTGCAGCATCCTGCAGTACGTCCACATGGAGCGCGTGCGTCAGTGTGTCCCCGCGCGGTGTGTGTGTGTGTCTGTGAGGGGGTGTGTGTCAGTGTGTGTCACTGTGCGGGGTGTTTGTGTGTGTCTGTGAGTGCGTCTGTGCATCAGTGTGTGTCGCTGTGCCGAGTGTGTGGGGATGTGTGTGTCAGTGTGTCGTTGTGCAGGGGCTATGTGTCGGTGTGTGTGTCAGTGTGTTGCTGTGCGGGGGGTGTGTGTGTCAGTGTGGTGGTGCTGTGTGGGGGGTGTGTGTCAGTGTGGTGGTGCTGTGTGGGGGGTGTGTGTCAGTGTGTCGCTGTGCAGTGCTGACCTCTCCCCTGTCTCCTCGGTGTCAGGGAACGCCCCCGGATCCGCCTGTCCACTCTGGACCCGTGTGCGCTGGGCTCGCTGCCGGAGGGCTCGCTGGGGCGAGAGTACCTGCGCTTTCTCCAGAGGAATGTGAGCTGGGAGAGGGGGAGGGGGGAGGGGAGGGGTGTGTTTTCTTGACCATCGCCTTGTCCTGGAATCGGCCAGTCAAGCGCCCCTCCCCCCTCTCAGAAGGTGACCCCGGACTCCCGGGCGGAGGTGAAGTTTGTGGACGACGAGGAGCTGGCCTACGTCATGCTGCGCTACCGCGAGGTGCACGACCTCATGCACACGCTGCTGGGCATGCCCACCAACATGCTGGGTGAGTGCGTGCCTGTCTGTTAGCTTGGTTGTGTTCATTCATGTCGTTGGGGCCAGTGGGCAGATACTGTAACTCACACAGAAGTAAGAGGGGCCTGTGGCCAGCAGGGGGCGATACTGATGGCCTTCTCTCTCCAGGGGAGGTGGCGGTGAAGTGGTTCGAAGCTGCCCAGACCGGCCTGCCCATGTGCATCCTGGGAGCAGCCCTTGGGCCTCTGCGCCTCTCTGCAAGGTGAGCGCCGCCCCGGTGGGGGGTCCGAGCGAGGGCGCTGGCCGGAGATGACCGACTGGCCTGCTGTCTCCCCAGGCGGCTGCAGCTCCTGGCCGGCACGCTGGCCCCCTGGGCGCTGCGCAGTGGCCGAGGCGCCCGCTGCGTGCTGACCGTCTTCTACGAGCAGCGCTGGGCGCAGAGCCTGGCGGAGCTGCGGGAGGAGCTGGGCATCGAGCCGCCGCCGCCTCTCGCCATCTGAGTCCTGCTCCTGCCGAGCCAGCGAGGTCCACTCCGGGTCTTCTCCGCTCCAGAGGGGCGATACGGTTCTACAGATGAGGCGTCAAGCGAGTAGGTGCTGACTGTTGTTGCCAGAACCTGCAGCTGAGACAACCGAAATGGATCCGAGTGCCGGACGGGGGAGTCTTCTCGCCCTGCCTCAAACACCTGGCCCGGACACCGCTGGACGGGAGAGCAGGGAGTCCTGTTAGAGGCAGTAGCAAGTATGTCTGTGGAAGCTCCTGGACTGAGCGTGTGGTTTTGGGGTGATCTCCTGAAGTAAAAGCGAGCTGAACTGGAGCCGAGGACACAGGAATTGAAATGAACCCCTCACCGCAACCCTGAACCTCTGGCTTCCCCCGCGGCTGGGGGACCCCCTGCAGATCCTCCGGGTGGGACAGGTGCCATGAGGGGTGGGGTCAAAGGTCAGATAGGGGGCTCTTAACCTGTGTAACCCCTCAGTGCACAGTCCAGGTTTTGGGACGGTTCAAAAGGGACTGTCTGCTAACTACCCTGCGTGTGTGTGTGGGGGGATTTAGAAACTGCAGCAGGACCCTTCATTAAACTTCAATAAAACTGCACAATGTTCCAGTAAATCTTATTTTTAGACAGGCTTCCTGCTACAGTAGATCTGAACACGTTTTTTATTTGTTTAACTTTCTAAAAAAAAATACACAAAATTCAGAGTAAATGAAAAGCAACAATTACACACAGGTGTGTGCAGTGTTTCAAATGCTGGAGAGCACCACCCTGGTCAGGGTTCGAGGCTGAAGCGCGAGTAATATCCTGTGGTGCAGAGTCTCTCAGGCTGCCCGTGCTGCTTGTACCCTCCGCTGGCCGCAGTGCCCAGGACAGCCGGCACAGTTCCCCCCCTCTCATCTGCCCCTCTCCTGGCCCCTCTGCCTGCGCTCGGCCTCAGTCGCTCCCTCTCTGTCCAGCGTGTCCCTCACGGCGCCGGCCGCCTCTCGCACTGCCTGGGTCACGTGGGCCAGGGTCCAGCGCTGGTGTGGCAGGGCGTGCTGGAGAGTGAACGGGCCGTCCCGCGTGCGCCGGACACCACAGCACACCGCCGCACTGCGCAGCTCCAGGCCCACCTCGTGCACCAGCTTGCGGAGGTACTTCTGCGTCTCGTTCAGGCACTGCACCTCTGGGGGGAGACGGGTAACACAGTCACGCTTTTCGCAGGCGGCCTGAGCCACCTGCAGTCGCCAGTGTAACAAACCGACTGGCCCTGGAGGGCACGGGTGCACGGTGGTACAGTGAAAGCAGGAACATCAGCATAGAGAGTGCTACATGGGCAGGTGAGTGATGGGCTCAGTATCCCAGAAACAGAGCACTCTCATGTGGACATGTCTGTAGCTTGGTTATCTACCCTTCAGAGCAGGTCTGAGTTGGGAGGGAGAAATACACACCCAGTGTAAAGTCAGGGGGGTCGTAGCTCAGGCAGCGCAGGCCGGTAATGAGCGGAGGGGATTTGTCCATCGGCCGCAGTAACCCCTTCACTGCCAGATCGTAGGCCTCCTGGGTCTGCAGGTCAACACCAGAGTACCTGGAGGGAGAAGAGGTAAGGAGACCTGCGCTGATCCTGCTGTTTTTCCCAGGATGCGAACCCCTTTCTGCTTGGCCGAGTGCAGGTCCGAGACCAGGACTGGCTCAGTTCTGCCGGCCTGGCCACAAGGAGTTTCTCCTGATCCCTGGGCCCTGCTGGCTCGTGCATCTGCTTCAGTACAGAACCATTCAGGCGGTACAGCTGAACCCGAGTCACACTGGAGATGCATGCCTAACACCACTGTGACTCCGGAATCCACTGAACTAGAGGCAAAGAATCCTGGGTAAGAGCCCGTTCCCGGCGAGGAATTTGTCACCAGTGACACTCGGACTCAAAGGACTTGTTTTCAGTCATTTTTTTTACTCTTTTTTTTCTTTTAAAGTCTAAAATTCTGCGACAAGCAGCAGTCACAGCACTCGTCTTAACCTCTGGAGAAGAAACAAAAGCAGAGGCTCACACGATTTCAGAGCTTAAATTAAACCAACTTTGAGGTGACATTGCATAATACCCATGCGATTCAAACCTGCGTCACCAACTTACGAGAGTTGGGTTTTGGTAAACACTGCCCTCTAGCTGTTAAATGATCCACATTTACAGCAACAGCACTAACAGATTGAATAAATCTGAACTGAATTAATTAGAATACAGTCTGAGCCCTGTGGTCAGAGAAGCTGTTGGCTGCAGGACACAGATGCAGGGGGCTTCTTCCCCTGTCTTTTCCCTAGAAACGTTCTTGTAGTGGAGACATTTCTCGACATGCTGGATGCAAATGACCACAATCCCTGCGGATTTGTTTGTGGCTAAGTCAACTCAAGTGACTGTAGATGACAATGTGAGGGTAGTAACTGGTATTGCACAATTAAATTAATTGGAAATCGAATAAAGAAATAACTAAGCCACTCCTGCCATGTTCAGAATTTGAAACAACAACAGCAGCCCTTAAAGACAAAAGCCCTGCTGAGACCCCCATCAGAGTCACAAGTTCATAGTAAAGAATTAGACATCAGAGGTTCAAGACAACCTTTCCACATTCTCAACAGACAGAATCCACCCAGAGCTCTGCCACGACCGAAAAGCCACCTGGTGACGTTTCAGTCTGCTGCTTATCTCCTTGATGGAGTCACACTGTGGCCCCCTGGAGAGCAAGAACTGCCATCTAGCCTTGTTTGTACCACAGCGTGAGGCCGGGCTGGAGGAACCGAGGAAGGCCGGGAGCAGACATACGTGAGCAGGGCTCTCTGGTGTGTCCCCTGGATGACAGCCAGGACCTTCTCCAGCTTGTCCCGCGTGATGTGACCTGGAGCACAGAGAGAGCAAGGCTGAGCACGCCCCGCCGGTCCCGACCGCTCCAGACCCGTTCTCAGCCTCGAAGACGGGTCGAGCCTTACCGTAGGTGGTCCTCTCGATGAGGCGGCCAGTGGGAGAGAAGTCCTCGGTCGCTCGTCCAAACTGCCCGTGCAGGGTGTAGTCCTGAGGGACAGCCACACTGTCAGTACCAGTGTCTCGCACAGACACGACACTGCAGCCCTTCACACACACACACACAGCAGTCTTACCCTGGAGAGGTGGCAGTTATAGAGCTCAGTCAGCAGCCTGTTGCCCCGGCCCACACCTAGAACTGACCAGAAAGAGATTTCATGCTCGCACCCAGACCCACAAGACCTGTACACACCAAGAACTGACCTGCTGATTCACACTCCAAGAACTGTCACACAGAGAACTAGCAGACAGACACCATTCAGGAACCTGCAGAGCAATGACACTGCCTCAGGTTCAGGCGTCACACAGGCAGGCAAGGAGAACTGAAGGTCCACACAGAGATACAGAGGGCAGAGACTCACCCAAGACCCCAGAAGAGGGCACATCCAGGCGGTGACCCGCCCCAACCTTCACTCCCCGAAACTGTGGCCCTGTGACTGCAGGAGAGACAATGAGTGACCCTGCCTGCGGTCAGGCGGAGCATGAGGCAGGATGGAGGCTGTGTCAGTGATGGCCAGCAAGAGCTGCAGGATTCAAAAGACTGGCCCAGAGCCAGCCGAACAGACAGCACTGGGGGGTGGGGGTGGAGCAGAGCTCCTTATCTGATTAGCTAATTACCAATTACTTGATCGATTGGCTCCAGGCTTTCAGCATCTTTACAAATTGAGGAGCTACAGAGATAAAAGAAACCTGCAGAGCTCCAGATGTCTGCCAGAGGACTGGACCACAGCTGCCCGGGAGAGACGGTACTGACCCAGCGGATGGTCCGCAAGCACGGGGACTCGGACCGCGGTCAGTGTCAGCTCCTTGGAGCCGTCTGGCAGGGCCGAGCTCGCCGGCAGGAAGCGCACCTGCAGCCGGGGAGCGGGGGGCGGCGCCGAGTTCATGCCTGGGAGGAGGGCGGGGAAAAAATTGACGGTACAGAGATTATTCCCAATGTACAGCAGGGAGCAGCAATACAGGTACTACGTTGTGTTACAGAGAGTTATATCAAGAGTACAGCGTAATAGTCGTGTTGGAGACAAGACATTTGGTGCAAATCAGAAATTATCACCCGCATCAGACAAATATTAAACATCAAAATAGACGCCACGTCTTTGGTGTTGTCGCGCTGGGTGCACGATATAGCTCTGTACCCTTCAGAAGGTTGGTCTCTACGGTGTCCCGGACGACATTCCAGGAAGTTCCCGGGGGCTTGTAAACGGCGAATAAGCCCTCCAGCCCCCGGTACAGCCGGGCGCCAGCCCCCGCCATCGCCGGCAGCCCTCCGGACGAGGAACCAGGGTCCAGGAAACGAGATCGAGTCCACGATTTTTATTTGAATGCTTCCGAATTTATTTTCTCGATCATGAGAAACAAACCCGTCCTGTAACGACTGCTCTGCGTTTTGAAACCTCGGCGTGAGCTGCGGAGGCCGCCATGCCGAGTCGCTTGAGAGTAGCAGCTATTTCCGTCCCTCTGGGAAACAAGCGCTGCGCGTAGCAGGTACCGCCAGGACAAAACAAACTCGGAGCTCGGGCTCCCTCTCCTGGCCGTCTTCTGCTACGTATACGCTGTTCTGACTCCTTTAAAATGATAATAATGGGCATGTTTAGTGGAGATTACCTCACTCGATATTACTCTTGGGGCGATGCATTTACTCCAACCTCTGAAACCCATACGTGCGTTTTAAACACATTTTAAAGACAATCAATATCCATAAACATATTAGCCTCCTTAGAATAATACTTAGACATGATGCATGCCAACAAGTTAACCATCTATGACATAAACATGTGGTTGTAATGTATGTTAAATCACCGTGATTGTAAGATCTATGGTTTTTATTTTCTGAGGCACGTTTTCCTTTTCTTTCCCTACTGTGACACACTGTTGCCAAACGCGTAACTGTGTGATACCATCGCCACAAGACCTCCACAGCATGTCATGATAGGGACCCCATGTATATCGCGGCAGTATATATCACAACTGGCGCCTTGCTTCCATGCCACCCTGGCACTGCTGTCGCAATAAAGGTCTCATATCAGGACATATGTTGCGATATCTGGACTTAGCATATCCTCTCAGGGTATGTCATATCGCGATATGCGGGCTTCATGTCGCGACTTTGGGGCGGAGCATTTTTGCCGGGGTATGTTATGTCGCGATATAGGGCCTTTCATGTCGCGACATGGGGGTGGGGCATTTTTGCCGGGGTCCGTCATATCGCGATATACTGGCTCCATGTCGCGACATGGGTGGCGGGGCGTTTGTCATATCGCGATATGTGGACTCCGTGTCGCGACATAGAGGTGGGCGTTTTGTCGGGGGTACCTCATATCGCGATATACAGGCTCCATGTCGCGACATGGGGAGGGGGGCGTTTTGTCGGGGTATGTCATATCGCGATATACTGACTAATTGTCGCGAGAGTGGCGCCATGACAGTGATGCGCCGCTTGCAATGGGTATTGCGATGTGATCGTAATGCGCGCACTCCTATCGTGACATACTATCGGAGTCGTGAACGCGCTGTGGATTCCATGACATTTTTTGTCTGCTATTCAGTTTTGAACTCAGTGCGACTTCTCTTAGATTGATCAGTAATTGGAAACAAATGGACATGATACTGTAGATCCACCGTGCTCATACAGCACACAGTTATCCGGGCTACAGTGTTTGGACCAAGAAGAACATCCATCACCTATCTACATGTTCTCGTCTCGGAACTTCCGCTGTGGCGCTTTACCCAATCAGAGTGTCGATTCTCACTCTTCACCCAATCGCGGCCCGACCTGTTCAGGGGTTTAGCCAATCACGGGTCAGAGAGCTGTTCAAGCCAGCAGCGCCAGGTGGATCGGCTTGTTTACGGTCAATGAGAATCAATTTTTAAAATGCTTTACTTATTTGCAAAATAACTACATCGGCTTATTTTTTTAAACGTCTTTATTGATTCACTGTCCCGTACGCTTCGACATAAATACATTTTTTATTTGCAATATAACTGTTTCCGCTGCTTTCTGTAACGAATACATGTATCTGAACAATTTTTATCGTATATTTAGGTAGAGGAAACACCTGCTGTGTACTTCAAAAATGAATAGAAATGTAAAGTCTATGATCATTATATTATGCTCGTGCTTTCAATTTTGTTTTTTATTGTTAAATTATATCGATATTGAAACTAATACCTAAAAATGTGAATATGGGCTCTTGTTTTGTACCTGCGGAAACAAGCAATACATTTTCGAGTACATGGTTAAAAATTAAAAGAAAACACCTAACCCAATGAACTAACATAGTAACTCCTCCCTAAATGTAAGACTGTTAATTCGTGTAAAGGCTGCAAAGTCTAGGGTCAACTGATCAAAAGATCACAACTGAAAGATCTGGTGGTCGTGCCTTTGCGGTTTTGTACGTCACAGAGTGACGTCACAGCCAGGAAAAGAAGGCGCTATATTGAAATATATTGAAACATCCACCCCACCCGACCAGACAGGCTCGGAAAACAAATTGCCCCCATTATTTTCATCACAATCAAGAGTTCAACTACCGAGTTTGTTGGTACCTGTAAACGTCCTTGTAGATAGTCAGGTGATTACCCGAAAAAACAAGGTGCTATATCTCAGAAACGAAAGCAGCACAAACGCTACTTACAGCGACCCAAACCGGCACAAACGCAGCACTAACGAATGAGGAGGGTTTCATCGTTTGTGCTGTCTGTAGGGGGGGAAACTTCACGGAGCTCAAGGAAAACCCTGCATGGTATTTTAAATACAATATCTCGGAAGGATTTTGAATCTTGAGGTTTTTGCGTTGTGTTCATTGTGTTTTGCAATAAAATATTAACTTCAGAGTAACTCTTAAAACTACTGAACAATCTAAAAGCAGGCATACGAAAAACTTAGAACTGTTACAAGCAACACGTGAAAATGAGCTCTTGCAGCTGTTCTTCAGCTAAAGACAAAGTCCTCATATAAGAGACCTTTGCAAACCAGCTGTTTTTGAACGGGAATTTGCCGACTCTCTAGACAGTGATGAGATTATCGCCATATTCAATTCCAAACCCGACGCCTGCGTCTGGCCTAGAAGGCTAAAACCTCACCACAGAGGTAGGAACTGATTGTTGCTTAACCTGTGTGTGTGTGAGAGAGAGAGACAGTATGTGTGTATACATATAAGGTTCTGCTAATTCTGCTGTTTGATTATACCGCTCGAGGATGGCATTGTAAACTGTAGGGGTGCCCCTGTGCCGGCAGGACGGTCAGTTAGAATCCTATATATTCTATATGATTTAGAAAGAGGCTTAAACTTGGCTGGCGGAATAATTCGAATTGAGTATCGGTGCCAGTGATTCAAAACACTTTTAAAGTTTCAAAAGCTTGTGATTTTTGTCACAGTTTGACACGTTTATTTACAATCTCGGAAAGTCCTCCCCTCCCGGCCCCTCGCTGCTCTAACACTTCCACTGCTTGCATTCCATCAATGCGTCCGTGATTAAGCAGCTGTCCGATTGCCACCAGGTGTGTGTCAGTGAAGCCCAGAGCCCCCTGAACCCTGGTGGAACAGCACTGTCTTGCCGTTCACATGTAGCTGAAAAAGTATGCTTTATTTAAAACATTCTCTTAACGTCACATGCCTGTCTGTGCAATTCTACTGGAAGAAGCACGAATTGAATAACCACCCATGACAGGATGTGGAACCTTCAGATGGGCTGAAGATATTCTGCAGTGGAACATGCGCAGCCCACAAGCTAAGCAGACAGACGCACACTCCTCCTCACTCTCTTGCACAAGCAGCCAGAGCGTCGAGCGCCACAGGCCTCCCTCTGCGAGCGGACAGTGAGGATCTCCGACTTCCTGCGACCTCACACTCCTGCCAGTGTTCCAGACAAGGCTGGTGAGTCCATCCCTCTGGTCACTGCTCTGCGTCCCTCTTGTCAGTAGCATGGAGGGACAGGCAGCGTCTAATCGAGTCTGCTGGTCATAGTGCTGCCGGGCTACTGGTGTTTCTTTATCTGTCATTTATATCATTGTCTTTCTGTGGGTGTGGAAAAAGGTCACAAGTTCAGGTCACAGTATGTTAAATTGCATTATATTAAGGTGCAGGTTGGATGAAAAGTCACGCTGCACGCAGTCAACAATATAACCACGGAAAGAAGGTGTAAAAATCTCCTTTGAGTGTTTTTGCAATGGTTCTGTTTCCAGTACTGGTCGGGTTCGGGGGTCCAGGCTGCTGCACCTGCTGTCAGCCCCCCTGTCGCTCCTCCAGCCCAGGCCGGACCCTCCGTGCAGCGGGGTCTCTGCTCCGAGTCCGTGCACACGTGGCACTGCTTTTGGCACAGGCAGCTGCCCCTCCCTGCACTGGAGGTCTGGGGTTGGAACCTGGCCCAGGACTGGCCTGGAATAACTCATCTCAGTTGTGGGTAAATAACGCAGGTCCTGACCTTGTGCCCTGAGTCGCACACACTGGAGATTCATCACCAGCTGCCAGCTCTCCCTGCAATCGGGAACATTGAACTCCGATTCCTCACCTGCTTCAGAGCTGGACTGGCACTGTTCAGGGAATAACTGGGGGCCGTTTACTAAAAACGGAACACTGCCGGGGATGGGCTCTGTGATGGGCTGCCCTGGGGACTGTAGACTGGCAACACCAGAGCAAAGCATGTGCAACCATGGGAAAGACACAGTAAAGCGTATTATGGTGCATTAAAGCCCAGTGTGAACATGGTAAAGGCCCAGAGAGCGCTGGGAAGACGTGACAAAGGAGAGTCTAGGAGTGGGATTGGACTAACTGCAAGCCTGGAGCAGCGTTGTGATGGGGGTCTCAATGCTGATCTCAGGCGAGGCGCTGACGTGCAGTTTCACACACGCTGACCCCGGTGCTCGGCTCACCACCTCCAGCTCGGCGCCCTGCGTCGCCCTGAGCCGCCGATGTGGTTTCTCCGATGACATCACTCCCTCTTCCTGTGCCACCGCCGGCTGGCGCCGACACCAGAGTCTGAGCACGAGCGGGAGTGCTCAGGCTCGCCCTGCTGCAGCAGTGACTGGTCTGAGCAATCCCAGCGACCTCTTGGAGATCTGGAAGGTCTGTACAAGATCCAAAACTGTGCATTGCTTCTGAAGGGGGGAATGAGCTCCTGCATTTCGTTCCTGCTGTAGAATTACAGTTGTATCGTGTCTTCTTCGGCTCTACTTGAACTAGTCCTCACTCCTAGCATGACTGTGTGTTCCTGGCACACAGCTAATCCTCTCTTATTGTATCTGTTCTCTTTACTGTAAGCCTGGTATTATTGCATAGCTCAATGTGAAGGGCTTCGAAATGGATGCTCAGCCTGGGGCCCCAGTGATGTCAGAGCGGTGTTGGGTTACAGTCTCTGCAGCTGTGTCATCGTGGGGGGGTCTCAGATCTTGTTCTGGGCTGAGTCGAGCTCCTTCCCAGAGAGGAGGTCAGAGTAGACAGACTCAGGTGAAATGATCTCCAGCTCAGGCCTTAAATACAGATACAAAACACAGAGCTCTTTTCACACAGAGCTCAGCTGAGGTCTGTTATCAGGGGGCCTAGTTAACCACAGAAATGTGTAACTCCAGATAAGTGCTCTCTTCTGTTAACAAGGTTTCCTCTGAACAGCAGGCCAGTGTCTGCCAGCTCCCTTTCTGACACTGACCCTGCAGGCCTTAGAAACACACCTCACCTGAGACACTTGCGTTCGGGGAACGGATAGGCTGCTTAGAAAAACATTCTCTCTGCACGCTCAGCAGTAGAGTCTCAGGCTGGCAGGAGTGTGGCTGAACGTGACCTCTCGCTGAGCCTCTCCTCATGCGCCGGGGCTGTGGGGGGGGGGGGCAGGCGATCTGGTCTGACTGTGGAGCCAGAGAGGGCCGTTCACACATCTGGCGCTGCTTGCCGAGGCGATTCCAAAGCTGCTGGTCTGGGAACGGAGCAGTTTCCTGCTTCAACACAGCCCAGGGACCCTGCGCTGCTGGGCGAGCTGGTCTTCGGCAGGGAGACAGTCCGTCTCCGCCCTTCTGTTCATTAAAGAAGTGAACTGCTCTGCCTGGTGCAGGAGCCACACATGAACCCACATCCCTCGCTGACCCGAAACTCTGCATCCTGGAGCCAGCAGCCTGTGCAGACGGAGTAGCGTGACTCAGTGTGTCTGGAAGAGAGCGCATAGCTGAGCTGTGATCCGAGATTCCTCGCAGAAACCAAGCCCAGCCCTCCTCTTTGCAAAGCAGCGGGTAATTATCCAGGTGATCAAATTGATAATTGACCGTAACACAGCCAGCCGGGCCCGGTCTTTGTGAGCGCAGCCGGGTGAATGTGCCACACTTTGTGTGCAGATCTGTGGGTCACGCTCCGTGGGGGGCAGGGAAACGAGACACATAATCCCAGAGCCAGACACGGCACCCGTCACAACACACAGCGCCAGGAGGGCACACGGACTGTACACACGCACAGTACCCACTGTGGGCAAACAGTCCCAGCGTAACATCCTCCAGTGCCCCTAAAGCATGCTCTAAGTCCAGTACAGTATCATTTAGAGACTGCATGGTCTCGTATGGTCAGTGTAGTACAGTATAGACCCGGAATAGTACATTAAAGACCCAGTATATACTGTACATAACAAAGGTTAGCTTGTTCCAGACTTGCACCACTCTGTGTGTAAAGAAGTGCCTCCTGTTCTCAGTTTTAAATGTAGTTTTCACTTGTGTCTGATTCCTGATCAGCAATATGTTTCTGCAACATGGTGACCAAAACAAGGTCTTGCCCATGGGCTCTACAATGATACTCAGTATCCTCGGAGTTAAATTATAAACTTTCAACTGCTTGTGTTGTCTGGATGACAATGTGCCCTCATAAACCGTGTCATTGTAGCTTCATGTGTAACAGCCTGTAGATTCCCTGAGACTCTGTACAGACACCTGGGCCAAAAATACACAGCACAGCTGAAGTTTATTCTCCGCTTTATCGCAAATAAATACAGTAGATTGTTGAAGTGTAAGTCTTGATCCTTTTCTGAGTTTGTCAAACACTACGTCTTTCTAGCAAGAGCTGGTTGAGACCTTGTTTCGAGTCCTGATGAAATGCCAGTCCAGTGCTGCTGACCTTGTATTGGGCTTGCGGCGGAGCCAGTCTGCCCACACTGCTAATACCTCTGGTCTCTCTGCAATAGTGAGAAAGACTCAAGTTTTGCTCAGCTGCAGTATTGCTGCTGTTCTCCAGAAGGGTTAAACTGGGACTTGGGCAAGAGGCTGTTCCCCAGAAACTCCCTCTCCCACGACACACAGACGGACACACAGACACTGGCAGGCGCCTGCACACACACAGACACTCCTTTCCAGCTCCCACACTATAAAGAGCGCAGGTGAGCTCACGCGCGGCAGTGCGGCTGGCGGGTAGAGAGGCGGTGAGAGAGCAGCGAGGTGTTTGCTGAAGTGCCAGGTGACAGATCTGTTCGTGCGCAGCGCCCAGGGAGACTCTGTCCTCCCTGCCTCCCGCCGCTGGAAAACAGTCGGAAATCGGAGAGCTGGAGCAGGGAGAGGGAGGTCTCGCAGCACCGAGTGGGAGAGGGGAAGGCAGGGAGCAGGAACGCGATCCGCTCTGGTCTGCACCGCGCCGAGCTCCGCTCTGAGGACCGGGATCAAACGGCACTCGCTGGCTCTGAGGTGAGACGGCGCTTGCTGACCAAAGGTCACTGTTGTTGACTTTACCAGGAAATCTCCACGCGGAGGGGAGCAGCGAGAGAGCTCAGCACTGGGGGACAGGTGGCGGGGCGGACTGATGGGGGGACTGCAGGGCCGCAGGACTGCACCCCCAGATCACCCACAGTGCATTGGGTTGGGCAGACTGGCATCACTGGTTTGTCATCAGTGTCTACAGACTGGGAATAGTAAAGTGTTTTGTTCTGAAGATCTGGGATTGGGAGCTATAGAACCTGCGTGTCCACCTGCCACCTGGCCTGGGGTCAGATACCCTGCTCAGGGGCTGTGGGGTCAGTGTCCATACTCTTCCCTGGGGCTCTGGGGACACACTGGCTACTCTGTGAGGGCTCAGTCGGGTACCTGCCACTCTCCGACGGGTATTAATTTAATATTTTCCAAACTTCATAGGCAGGAGCTAAGTCGAATCAGTGCAGGAACACCAGGCTAATTCAACATGGAAACTCTAATTTAGGAGCCCCTGTTTGCTTAATGTCCAGTTTTGCGAGCTGGGATAAACTGTATATTGAGTAAATACATATCAAATTACTTTACTGTACATGTGCCTGTGCATATTTGCTAAAAATAAGGTAGCAAGTGTGAAACACCCAACACCAGGAGGTGAAAGTAATGTAAACAGGAATCTTTGCTGTTCCTGATAGGTGCTGTTATGTCATAAAGTCAGGGGTAGCAAATGTTGACCTGAAGGAGAGTCAACAGTGAGAGAGATGAAGGAGTGTGTGTGCAGGGTCTCTGATTTACTCCTGGTGGTCAGACGAACCAAAGCTGCAGGATTCCTGGGGAAACACGATGACTGTTTCCTGCAGGTTGCAGTCCAGATGCCGGGAATTATCCCACTTTTCTGGCATGCTGTGTGGAGGATTCAGTGACATTTTCACACGCAAAAAGAGACTTTTGCTGCACCATTATGTTCCAAAGAAATTAACACTTGTGAAGTTCTACAAAGTGTAAATTTGCACAGTGCTTTCCCTGAATTTCACCACGTATTTAATTTGCTGTTCTAAGGCTTCCCACTGAACTCGTGCCTTTGTTCTCTGTAGCTGCCAAGCCCTGCAGAGCTCCTAATTTGTCATACTGTAGGACAGTCTGGTCTCCAGATCCACTGGGAATGTAGTCCAGGTCTCCGTGTCCCCAGTTCACAGTGAAACTAGTCCAAGCATTGATACTTCTCTGTAAAAAATGCATTCTAGATGTTAAACATTTTTTTAAATCAATTTATTTATTTTTTATAATCAGTTTCCAGTTGCTATGAGCCCTTGTGTTCTGCTTACCGAATATAGTATACTGGAAACTGTCTTCTTACCATTAATAATTTTCAAAATTAAAAATCCAGTCTCCTTAATCTTAGCTGTCTTTTTTGAAGACAGAAAAGATTGAGTCCCTTCAGTCTGTCATTGTAGCTTTGCTCCTTAAGCCCTGCTATTCTCTAGTACAATAAACCCTTTGGAAGGGGGTTAAGATTGACTGTCCAAATCACGTGAATTGCTTTCGAGCAGGTGAGAGGGGACACATTCGCTTTTCTGCAGAGCAGTCTAGAAGCACAGATAGGTTTGCTTTGGGCAGGCAGAGCTTCTGTATTTTGACAAGTACAATTACGTAAAAAATGGGCCAAGCAAAACAAGTTCCAACTGAATTCCGACGTGTCTCAAAAAGAGTGAGGTTGTGGGCTGTGTCACTGCCTCTGCTTCTTCTGAATTGTTTGCTTCTTGTTTTCCACACTTTCTGGGGAATTAAAATGGCACCTTTGTAGCAGTAAAACATAATTACTATACAGCAGGATTCCCAGTAATCAAGAGCACAGGGTCAGTGAACTGCAGCTCAGACAGGAATCACATCTTCTCATGGCCGTTTACAGGAGGGGAGCTGGCCTGTCTGGTGAGTAACCAGTCTGTCCCGAGTCTGAAAGGGGAGATTTAGTTAGGCAAGATCTACCGTTTCTAAATCCACAGTGACTATCCGGTGTGATATTGTTTCCCTGCAGGTGATCATCTAGATTAGTTTTAATCAATGTTCCCACAGCCTTACATTTAATAGGAGTTAGACGTATTGATCTGTAAGTACTTGGGGCACTTTTATTGCTCTTTGGATGGGCACTTCATTGGCACTTTACCAGCAGTGGGTATGGCACCTAGGTTGAGCAGCTGACCTCTGGAAGAGCTGAATAACATCTGTTTCCTTCAGTGTGTTTGTCTTATTAATCCTGCCTCTCGTACTGAAACACCTCTGCCGGTGCCGTTTTAATCCTGAGCTGTATCCTTCCGCTGCCTGTGGCCTGTTGTTGACTTAGAGAATTCCGGAGCGCGATGATCATTACCTCATTACCACTCTGTCCTGACTGCATGAAAAGGTGAGATCAATACACACATTTCTTCTGGTAGCTGCTCTGTCACTCTGGATAAAAAGAGTCCATGGAAAACCATGTCTGCTGATATTCCTCTTAGGTTTTCCCCAGTCTGTGTAGGGAAAGTTGAAGTTTCCCATAAAAAAATACTTCTTCTTTTGCAGATAAATTCTTAATTTCGTCCTACAATGTGGAATTGTAATCAACAGCTGCACGTGGTGGTCTCCACTCAGCAAACTCCTCTCTTTCGTATACCTTAAGAATATTTCATGATCAGCTTTATCTCCTGAGCCCGAATGTGCTTTTTAATATATAGTGCCACGCCTCCCCCTCTTCCAACGTTTTGTCTCTGCAGAACAATGTGTGTCAACTAATGTGACATTCATCACTGGTGTTTGGTTACTCATGTTTTTTTAACTTCTATAACATAATAATGTCACCTACAGTATATATGCTGATGTGGCAGCTTCAGTCTCCAGTATCTTGTTTCGAATACGTCTTGCATTTAGGCATAAGCATTTGATTCCCTGGTCCTTTGTCTCATTTTCCTCTTTCCTCCAAATGCCAGTGAAGCCCGATGGAGAAGTGAGAAACGGCTTCAGCTGTTGAATTAGCCAGGTCTGTATGAAGGTCAGGTCGGACAGCCCCACAGTGGAATACAGCCAGAATTCATCCAGCTGTCTTGCCAACAGCCATGGGTCTTTAATGACCAGGTAGTCAGGACCTCGATTTAATGTCTCATCTGAAGGCCAGGGCCTCTTGCCCCACAGTGCCTCCTGTCACCATACTGGGGCATCAGAAAGAGGGAAGAGCACCACCCACTGGACTATTTACAGGCTTTCCTTACAGGTCTGTTTGTCCAGTCCTGACGAAGCCCGGCTGCGCTTGTCTGGTATCCGATAAGTTCAGGTGTCGGCGGTCAGCAGTGGTGTGTCCAGCGTCTCACCTGTCCGTCTGTCTGCAGGCCGCAGTGCGATGGGCAAGCTGGCAGTGAAGCAGGCGGCGGTGGGCGTGTTAGTGGCCGGGGCGGCCTGTATGGGTGTCATCGCCCTCATCCTCACCCTGGTGAGAGTCAGAAGCATGGACCTGCCCGTGGGCACACAGGTGAGTGACGGGAGACGGGGCACCAGAGTGACCAGACCAGGCTGCCAAACCCTTTCCCCTCCTCTGTGTGCTTGTCTCCGCCCTCACAGTGTGTGGACCCCCCCCCTTTCTGTACGGGATAGTGTGTGGACCCCCCACCTCTCTCTCGGTACGGGACAGTGTGTGGACCCCCTCTCTCGGTACGGGACAGCTGTTGACCTCCCTCTCTCTCTCTCTCAGTACGGCATGGTGTTCGATGCAGGCTCCACACACACAGCCCTCTTCCTGTACCAGTGGCCGGAGGGAAAGGAGAACAACACGGGGGTCGTGTCCCAGGTCTTGGTGTGTGATGTGGAAGGTCAGTAACGCCGATCTGCAGCACACTGCCCTGCTCTCGTCTCTGCACTTCTTTCTGCCCCCCGTCAGGCCAGTGTGCACGACTCCTCCACATCTCTCCAGTACAGCACTCCAGTCCCTTCTGGTCCTCTGCACTTCTCCTCCTCAGGGCAGGGTTAGTGCTGCACCTACTGTATAAGCCATTCAGCTCCACTCCACCTCAGAGCTGTTCACACTGCACTCCACTTTACTTTAAGAATTGCCTGCATGGGTTTCTGATTATCTTACCAAATGGGCAGGATTGGTTGAATCGCCCTCTCATAAGTTACTATGAGACCTGCTCTAGAAGACTAATTCTGAATACAAAGTATCTAATAAGATCTGTCGGTGAGTACTTCTCCACCTGTGGTTCTTTTAAATTAGTGTTTAGAATCTTAGTGTTGGGAATGGGCCTGCTTCTCTGGAGAGCAGGACAGAGACGGTCTTACTGCTTCTGTCTCACCCCAGCCTCTCTCTCTCTGCTCAGGTCCGGGCATCTCCAGCTACGCCAGTGATCCCCCCGGCGCTGGTCAGAGCCTCAAGGCCTGTCTGGACAAGGCCAAGGCCAGCATCCCCGCCGAGCGGCACCGAGACTCGCCAGTCTACCTGGGAGCCACCGCAGGCATGAGGCTGCTGCAGTGAGTCGGGTCAGAGTGTCCTGCACAGTGCAGAGTCCTCAGGGTCAGAGAGACGGTCCTTTCAGAGACACCGTGAAGAGAACCATTCAGATAATTCATTCAGAATTCAGAATTCAATTCAGTGCAGGGGGGCAATCGTGACATGTGGAGAAACAGACAGTCATGGAGAAACAATGCTCTCTGGTTTGCACACACAGGAAATCAGACCAGCTAGACTGGCTGGGATCAAGGTATAGCAGCTCCACCCAGGAACTTCACAGAAATCGTCCTTTTATTTTTCTTTTCACTTCATTTCACTTGTTTCCTGTTTCCCTGTCCTTGTGCAATACCTCTGGCGTTGTGTGTTGAGAGGCAGCTGCAGGGGCTGAGTCTCTCCTGCTCTCCTGTTCACCTCCCTGCCCGGATTTCCCAACAGCTTGCAGAATCCCACCCAGTCAGTCCAGGTTCTGCAGGAAGTGGCGAAGATGATCCGGTCATATCCCTTTGACTTCCGGGGCGCGCGGATCATCTCCGGCCAGGAGGAGGGAGCGTATGGCTGGATCACCATCAACTACCTGCTGGAGGGCTTCATCCAGGTCAGGCCAGGGAGACTGCAGGAAACAGCAGGGAGGATAGACTGAGCTCCTTCCCAATCTTACAACATCCTGCTGAACGGTTAGAGAGGAGATACTGAAGGACGAAGAGACTGGGATGGTGGGACAGGGAGAGAATCGGGATAGTGGGATGGGGAGAATTGAAGTAAGAGTGGGAGAGGGAGAGAAGGACTGTGGCTGTAACTTGTCTTTCTGTTGGGTTGCAGTACTCCTTTGAGGGCAGATGGAAGCACCCCAAAAACGGGAAGATTCTGGGGGCTCTGGACCTGGGGGGCGCTTCCACCCAGATCACCTTCACCCCAAAAGACCCCATCCTGGACAAGAGCACTGAGGCCCGATTCCGGCTGTATGGCTACAACTATGGCATCTACACCCACAGCTACCTGTGCTACGGCAAGGAGCAGGCCATGAAGCAGCTGCAGGCCCAGCTGGTCAAGGCCAAGGCCAGTGCACAGCGCCTCAGCCATAGCCGCCCGTCCCCTTGCGTGTGACTCTGCTCCGCCGTCCGTTTCTCTCTACTGTTCTTTGACAGCTTTGTGTTCAAATTCATCCCTGCAGGGCAGTGACCTTTCCCAACCTGTGACCCACCCCTGCTACAACTCGGGGTACAACCTGAGCCTGACCATGGGAGAGCTGTTTGACTCCCCTTGCGTCACCAAGCCCTCGGACTTCAACGCCGTGACCCCGGTGACCTTCAGGGGCAGCGGGAGCCCCATGGAGTGCCAGGATCTCGTCAAGACCATCTTCAACCTGACTGGCTGCCCCTCTGCATCCAGCTGTGGCTTCAATGGCATCTACCAGCCCCCCATCAGCGGACAATTCTTTGTGAGTCCCTCCCTGTTCAAGCAGTGCCCCCCCTGCAGGCTATCCCAGACATTCCACTGTACTGATGAAGCATGGCAGCAGAGAAGAAGTGACGCATGTCTCTAGAGACAAAGAGGAAACTCTGCATAGGAAGAGCACGCAGACAAGGGCAGAGATTGAGGTACCTCACAGTCCCAGTGTGGTATTCTTATACACTACCTCATGCTACACTATGAGATTGTATATTAAGCCATTTCCTAACTGCTTCATCCAGTTGAGGCTCACTGGGGAGCCAGATACACAGACACTCCCACCAGAGCCAGTTTTCCCAGAAGCCAGTTAACCCCCCAGCATGTTTTTGGACTGTGGGAGGAAACCCATTTGAACAGTGGCAGAACATACAAACTCCACACAGACAGCACTCCAGGTCTCGAAATTGAACCCAGAGCCCCAGTGCTGCAACATAGCAATGCAAACCGCTGAACTTGGTACAATACAGTCCATCAAAACACATCCTGAGCGAAAACATACTATAGCCCTGCAGATGGACTGTAAGTACTTGACCCATGCATCTACTAATCAATTAAGGAATCTGACAATGATATGACTGTGCTGAACACTCATTCATTCTCTGAAGTGGTTAAGATGTAGAGTGAAGTAACTCATTGAAGATGCCAGAGTGTACTCCGGCCCTCTGTTGCTCTGCGATGTCCTGTGCTGGAGAGTGAGCGATGGGCTCTGCCCATTCTCACCCTCCCCTCTCTCCCCAGGCTTTCTCCTCCTACTTCTACACCTTCAGTTTCCTGAAGCTCACCCCTCAGGCACCACTCGCCCAGGTCCAGAGAACCGTTGAGGAATTCTGCAGGAAAAAGTGGACTTTGGTGAGACGGACGCAGATCAAGCTGCAGCTCTGATGGTCATGTTCGTAATTAGGGATACAATTATGTCACGGTCCTCACTGGTCAGTCAGAGAATCGGGGATCTTGTTGTGGAATCCAACGCTGTGCTGTGCCCATCGGCATGTTTGGCAGGGGTGTGCACACAGTAGTCTGCAGCAGAGAGCTGTGATTGAAGGACAGAAGAGGCTTGGTTCTGCCTGAGACGCGAGTAGGAATGTGCTGGCAGGGAGGGGAACAAGTCTGTCCTGTGGTTTACTGTGGGTAATTCCTTAACATTCCTTAACACGTCTATCTTAACTGTGACCAACTTGTATCTCTAATTATGATGATGACTGAGTGGATGAGGATGATGGTGTTGAGGGGGTGATGGTGATGGAGATGATGATGGGGGTGGTGATGGCAGTGTTGGTGGAGCTGATGACAACAGTGATCAGAGTGATGGTGGGGATGATGAGGAGGATCCTGGAAGTGATGGAGATGATGATTCCCTTGATAATCCCCAGCTGAAAGCAGAGTATCCCGGGGAGAAGGAGAGGTTCCTGCGGGACTACTGCGCCACTGGGTACTACATCACCACCCTGCTGCTGGATGGGTTCAAGTTCGACAACCAGAGCTGGAGCAACATCGTGTTCCAGAAGCAGGTGAGAGGGGGGTCTGTGTCCTCGCTTGCGCTGCGTCCTGCTGCTGCTGATGAAGGGCGGACTAACTCTGCGTGGCTGTGCTTGCCTCAGGCTGCGGACACGGACATCGGCTGGACGCTGGGCTACATGCTGAACCTGACCAACCTGATTCCCTCCGAGCGCCCCCAGGCGGCTGTGGGGCAGAGCCCGGAGCAGTGGGCGGCGGCTGTGTTCTTCATCGTGTTTGGAGTCTTCCTCTGCCTGGTGGCCATCATCATGCAGATTTTCTGGAGCCGGACTACTGACATCGTGTGACCTGGGGGGCGGGGGGCTGGAGAGGTGACTGAGAGGGCAGCCAGCGGGCCTGTGGCTGGGGGGTGCAAAGCAGTTTAATTGACATGTAGGCAGTAAAGGAATATGGGGGGCTTAAGGCTTGAAGCATATATCTTATACAGAGCCATGCCAAATTAAAATGAGCTTTAACGTGCCTGTGACTCGACAGATCACGCACACAGTGTCGTGGGCATGACCCAGATGCTCACGCACCCCTGAGTGCGGGTTTTGGGGGGGGACTGCTCATTGTAATATGCTCATTAAAATGACGAGGTTCTAGCATATACTGAAGGGGACTGGGAGCCGGTGGAGGTTGAAGCCATATTTTATAGAAATGTTACTAATGTGAGGTTTGTTATGGTGGGAACTCTAATAGACAAGTATCTAGGGGCACATGGATTAAAAGGGATATAATGCTGATTTGAATTCTACCTCCCTGTCAATGAAGCATGAAGGCGTTTCCTGGGGGAACGATGCTGATGGCGGCAGGGGTGGAGGCAGTGTGTGAGAGTCGGCCGTCTGTCGCTGCTGGGCAGGATAGCGCTGGCAGAGAGAGAGCAGAGCCACAGAGCTCCCCCTGTCATCCTGTCCCCCTGTCCCTGAGCTCTTTCTCCCACCCTGTTGCTCATCCACTCCTCTCTCTCTCTCCAGCCCTGTCCTTCTCTTCACTCCCTCCGTCCTCTGTCGCTCAGCAGTCCTCTGGACCTTCCCAACATTCTTGAGACATTTGGGACAGTTATCTCACTGTGCGCTCTGCTGTTTGTCGAATAAAGTCTGTAATCAAGAGAAGCACTCGCTGTGAGGAGTGTGTTATTGAAGAACTCTGCAAAGGGGGGCGTTTTGCACAGTGTCTCCCCAGCAGTGTGAAAACCCACTGTCTCACACAGCGGGGCAGGTCTGCTTTAAAATGTCCTCTGATTCACTGCCCCACTCAAACACTGGGGAGCGCCAGTGAGCCAGTCCACCTGCGGTGCTCCTCACTGCTACAACATCACCCCCACAGCTCCTCAGAGGCCTGTAAAGATTCGGGACCATGATAAGTGGTAAACACTTTACACAGGTGACAGGTGACAGGTGAGAGTATGGAACAAGCTGTCCTGTCCTGGTGGGCATGGTCACGCTTCTGGCAGCACAAGAGAGGCCTGGATCTGCCCAGTGGGGATCCCACAGTCCCTCGGGGTTTCTCCACTCAGAGGCTGTGGGGTCCAGTCTGTCAGAACCTCCTCCAGCGCTTGAACAGGGCGAACCGCGTCGCTGCAGGATTGGGTCAGTAACAGGCTGGGCGCTCAAAAAGCCAGGCAGCCAGATGCAACAATAAAGTAACAACAACAAAAAAAACAAGAAGAGAGGCCCATCAAGCTCATTTGTTTTTCAGTCCCAGGATCTCATCCACCCCTTTCTTGAGAGTATATGGGCTTGAAAAACATGACTGAACAGCTTGTTCCACGCCCTCAAACCCCTTTGTGTAAAAGATTTACCACTTGTGTTCTCCAGATTGTTTCAATGTTTATTCTAGAAGACAAGCCTTATGTATATTTACCCTCACTGACTGCTGGGAGGCAGCCTCCCATTCGAGGTGCAGACGCGCACTTCCCACCTGCTGAAGGGGCAAACAGCCCTACAGCCGCGCCCTGGCTTCGAACTGGCTCACTGCTGCCCTCCAGAGGTACTGCTGTGGCGCCACGGCAGTATGAGGCACTGCTTTGATCCAGGCTGCCCACCAGTCTTCAAACATCCTGTCCGGCTCCTGTCTAACACACCATCCAGGTCCAGTAGGTAGCCATTAACAGCAGGGATCAGATGTACGCTGGGGATTCGGTATGCTTCTTGGATACTCCACTGTCTCCCTCTGCTGGGCACAGATGGTAAAGCGTGCAGTGCCCTACCCCTGACCCGAGAGGAGATTTTACTGCTCTAGAGAGACTGTGCGCAGTGAAGAAGTGTCAGAACCACAGAGAAAGGTCCCAGGTGAACACCCACTGCCATAATTATTTATTTTTGGTAGAAACTAAAGTGTTATATTATTTACAACAGATTGAACAACAGTAATAGCTTAGAAACTGTGGCCAATGTAGTTTTAGTCCAACCTTCCGATTACCAGCTTCTTGTATCCGAGGTGAGATAAATCTACAAAACTTACTTTTGTAACCTTTCATGTCCAAAGGTTTATAGTTCTTTTCAAGTTCATTGCTAAGTAAATCTCAACAGTTCCTAGTCGGAAAAGATGTTCAAACTGAGCAGATCAGACTCCGCGGGGATGGGAGGTGCTCCAGCCGGCTCTGGGTAAACAGCGGGATTGGGACGTGCCCGAACCACATTCCTCGTCACAGATTCAGCCCAGCTGGTAGAGCAAGACGGATCGGCTACGGAGTGCCCACGCCTGCGGAGCCGCTGTGATGCGCCGGCGACGCCTGTCCTCCAGCCTGCAGGCGCATTCCTGAGCCTCGTCTCTCCGGGCTTCGAGCCCTGCGGCCTGCGGCGACCCCGGGAGCCCAGCTGTCACTCGCTCCGGGCGGTCTCAGCTCGAGGTAGAGGAAACAGGGCTGCAGACAGGAAGCAGGTGGAGGGAGGTGGGAGAGGAGATAGGGGGGTGGAGAGGGAGGGGAAGGGACAGCAGGGATAGGAGGGACAGCAGGGACAGGAGGCACTGCGGGGACAGGAGAAATGGGAGGGATGGGAGGAACAGAGGGACAGCAGGGACAGGAGGGACATGAGGCACAGCGGGGACAGGAGAAATGGGAGGGACGGGAGGAATGGAGGGACAGCAGGGACAGGAGGCACAGCGGGGACAGCAGGAACGGCAGGGACGGGAGGGGCAGGAGGCACAGCAGGGACAGGAGAAATGGGAGGGACGGGAGGAACGGAGGGACAGCAGGGACAGGAGGCACAGCGGGGACAGCAGGAACGGGAGGGACGGGAGGGACAGGAGGCACAGCGGGGACAGCAGGAACGGGAGGGACGGGAGGGACAGGAGGCACAGTGGGGACAGGAGGCACAGCAGGGACAGCAGGAACGGGAGGGACGGGAGGGACAGGCCGGCTCTCAGCTGTCCAGCAGGGAGATGCTCTCGTTGGCCACAGCGCAGGCCGGGTGCAGGGCGGCGGTGAAGACCTGGTGATGCGCGTGCAGCACGGCGCCGCTGTCCGGCTCCAGGAACACCAGCGCCCCGCCGCCCCAGTCCAGCAGCACGCACAGGCGGCGCGGCCGGCGCAGCAGGGGCAGCGGCTCCGCGCGGCCCGCGTGCAGGAAGCAGAACTCGCCGTCGAAGTGGGACAGGACCCAGGAGTGGGCGTTGTAGCCCAGCCGGGCCCCGTTCCCCGGGCCCTTGCGCTCCAGGCTGCCGTAGCTCACCCCCACCTTGAAGGCGGCGCTGCGCCCCACCTCCAGCAGCCAGCGGTGCGTCCCCGAGGAGAAGCTGCGGCCGCACAGCGCGTTGGGCCAGCGGTCGAAGCGCAGCGGGCTGTACTGCTGGGGCTGGCGCGCGCGCCTGGGCAGGAAAGTCAGGGTCCGGCCGTCGTCCGAGAGGGACAGCAGGGGGCTGACCGTCCGCTCGTCAAAGCTCAGGGGCTCAGGGTCTGCGGAGGAGAGGGGGGGGACAGGAGCTGACTCCTTCTGCACTCCAGGCTTTTCCAGCAGCTGCTACTGGTCAGACTGGTATTTGCACAGACCAGCACACAGTAACACTGAAAACACATCTGAAGTCTCCTGCATGGACTGTACAAGAGCCTGCAACTGGGAAAATCCGGACAGGATCAGAATGCTACACAGGGATACACTTTTAAATAATAATAATTCCTTACACTTATCTAGTGCTTTTCCGGACACTCCACTCAGTCCGCTCCCCACACACCAGCTCTCAGTGGGGAGGAGAGCAGAGTGATGGAGCTGGTTCAGAGAGGGGGGTTATTAGGAGGCCATGATTGGTGAAGGTCAGGGGGGAAATCTGTGGCCAGGACACTGAGATTAACACCCTTACTGTATTTGAGAAACACCCTGGGATTGTTAATGATCACAGAGGGTCAGGACCTTGGTTTGACATCCTTTTCTACAGTACAGTGTCCCCGTCACTAAACTGGGGCATTAGGACCCACACAGACCGCAGGGTGAGCGCCCCCCACTGGCCCCACTCACAGCTCTGCCGATTGTGCACACAGACAACTCACCGCACTGACCAGAGCGACACAGCAGCACTGCATTCGCCCACAGGTTCAAAAGCAACGGGCTCTGGCTGCTCCTGGGGTTAAAGGTCAAGTGTTCGGAGTCCTGGGGCTCCCCCACCCCCTCTGCCACCTCCACCCTGCGAGAGAAGAAGGGAGCGGGGGTGACTGGCGGGCCTGGGGTGTTTTCGGAGCTGCCGTTAGCCCTGGGGGCCAGAGCCGCTCACCTGTCCGAGATCTCCTGGGAGCAGTCCTGTTGAAGAGAGCAGAACGGGTGAGGATTGGGAGAATGAGCGCGAGCCGCCTGTCCCTGACCTTTGACCCGGCCCCCAGGCTCACCAGCAGCTGCCGGTCCTCGGTCTCCGTCAGCAGGCGCACCAGCTGGGCCCGCACGGCGGACAGCGAGCCGAGGGCCTGCGCCCAGTGCGCCCGCTGGGTGAGCAGGCTGTGCTGCACCCGCTCCTCCTCGCGCTGCACCGCCTCCAGGAGGCGCTGCTCCTCCTCGTCACAGGCCTCGCGCACGGCCGCCAGCCGCCGCAGCACCGCGTCCCGCGCGCGGCTGGCCCCGCCCTGGGACACACACACACACACACGACACGGGGTCAGGGAGCGGCGGTCAGGGTCTGGAGGTCAGTGTCCGGTAGTCAGGGTCTGGAGGTCAGGGTCTGATAGTCAGGGTCTGGAGGTCAGTGTCCAGCAGTCAGGGTC